ATGGCGCCCTGCAACCGCTTATGGCGCCCTGCAACCGCTTATGGCGCCCTGCAAACGCTTATGGCGCCCTGCAACCGCTTATGGCGCCCCGCAACCGCTTATGGCGCCCTGCAACCGCTTATGGCGCCCTGCAACCGCTTATGGCGCCCTGCAACCGCTTATGGCGCCCTGCAACCGCTTATGGCGCCCTGCAACCGCTTATGGCGCCCTGCAACCAAAGACGTAAACCCTGGAAACACAAACCGAAACTGTCTCTATTTTCCGCTTGTTACAACTTGTAATAAAGTTGTCAGATCTTGGCTTAACGTGTTTATGACGTATTAGAACGTTGTTACAAGTTGTTATATTGGTTGTTATAACTGGTTAGGAGGTGTTAAAACTTGTTCGAACGTTGTACCAACGTCGTAGTTTCGGTGTGTGTTTGGCGGGAATAACCCAGCTCCAGTAAAAAACCCCACCATGCACTCCAAGCCAAAACATAAGAACTAACACCACTGCAATATTCTGGAGAACCAGAACCACATGAAGGCAGCCGCCTTCTTCCCCCTCTTTTGGGTGATGGGGACCTAATTTTGCCCGTTTAAAATTGGAGGTTATCTTGAGATGATTTGGGGGCTTTAGTGTTCCCCGCGGCCCGGTCCTCGACCAGGCCTCCATCCCCAGGAAGCAGCCCGTGACAGCTGACTAACACCCAGGTACCTATTTTACTGCTAGGTAACAGGGGCATACGGTGAAAGAAACTCTGCCCATTGTTTCTCGCCGGCGCCTGGGATCGAACCCAGGACCACAGGATCACAAACAAGTCCAGCGTGCTGTACGCTCGGCCGACCGGCTCCCTGCCGGTCGATGGGAGCCTACCATGCACCTGGGTGTAACCCCGGGCTCTGTCTCTCAGACTTCGACGCTTCCTCTCACCGACTTCGACGCTTCCTCTCACCGACTTCGACGCTTCCTCTCACCGACTTCGACGCTTCCTCTCACCGACTTCGACGTTTCCTCTCACCGACTTCGACGTTTCCTCTCACCGACTTCAACGCTTCCTCTCACCGACTTCAACGTTTCCTCTCACCGACTTCGACGCTTCCTCTCACCGACTTCGACGCTTCCTCTCACCGACTTCGACGTTTCCTCTCACCGATTTCGACGCTTCCTCTCACCGACTTCGACGTTTCCTCTCACCGACTTCGACGCTTCCTCTCACCGACTTCGACGTTTCCTCTCACCGACTTCGACGCTTCCTCTCACCGACTTCGACGCTTCCTCTCACCGACTTCGACGTTTCCTCTCACCGACTTCGACGTTTCCTCTCACCGACTTCGACGTTTCCTCTCACCGACTTCGACGTTTCCTCTCACCGACTTCGACGCTTCCTCTCTCCGACTTCGACGTTTCCTCTCACCGACTTTGACGTTTCCTCTCACCGACTTCGACGTTTCCTCTCACCGACTTCGACGTTTCCTCTCACCGACTTCGACGTTTCCTCTCACCGACTTCGACGCTTCCTCTCACCGACTTCGACGTTTCCTCTCACCGACTTCGACGTTTCCTCTCACCGACTTCGACGTTTCCTCTCTCCGACTTCGACGTTTCCTCTCACCGACTTCGACGCTTCCTCTCTCCGACTTCGACGTTTCCTCTCACCGACTTCGACGCTTCCTCTCTCCGACTTCGACGTTTCCTCTCACCGACTTCGACGCTTCCTCTCTCCGACTTCGACGTTTCCTCTCACCGACTTCGACGCTTCCTCTCACCGACTTCGACGTTTCCTCTCACCGACTTCGACGCTTCCTCTCACCGACTTCGACGCTTCCTCTCACCGACTTCGACGCTTCCTCTCACCGACTTCGACGCTTCCTCTCACCGACTTCGACGCTTCCTCTCACCGACTTCGACGCTTCCTCTCACCGACTTCGACGTTTCCTCTCACCGACTTCGACGTTTCCTCTCACCGACTTCGACGTTTCCTCTCACCGACTTCGACGCTTCCTCTCACCGACTTCGACGTTTCCTCTCACCGACTATTCTTCAGCTTTACCCACTTCCCCGCTCACCCGAACGGTATCTTGTCCTATATTTTGCTCGTTCGTTCGTACGCCTAGGGTCGTACCGGGTCGGAAGTGCAGGGTCGTACCGGGTCGGAAGTGCAGGGTCGTACCGGGCCCTATAAGCTTTTCTTAAGCTCTCGTAAAAACTGGAAAGCTTCAGGATGAGGTATATACAGGCGTCCCAGTATTGTCCCATGTCTGTCCTCGTGTGTACAGGCGTCCCAGTATTGTCCCATGTCTGTCCTCGTGTGTACAGGCGTCCCAGTGTTGTCCCATGTCTGTCCTCGTGTGTACAGGCGTCCCAGTATTGTCCCATGTCTGTCCTCATGTATACAGGCGTCCCAGTATTGTCCCATGTCTGTCCTCATGTGTACAGGCGTCCCAGTATTGTCCCATGTCTGTCCTCGTGTGTACAGGCGTCCCAGTATTGTCCCATGTCTGTCCTCGTGTGTACAGGCGTCCCAGTGTTGTCCCATGTCTGTCCTCGTGTGTACAGGCGTCCCAGTATTGTCCCATGTCTGTCCTCATGTATACAGGCGTCCCAGTATTGCCCCATGTCTGTCCTCATGTATACAGGCGTCCCAGTATTGTCCCATGTCTGTCCTCATGTATACAGGCGTCCCAGTATTGTCCCATGTCTGTCCTCATGTATACAGGCGTCCCAGTTTTGTCCCATGTCTGTCCTCATGTATACAGGCGTCCCAGTATTGGCCCATGTCTGTCCTCATGTATACAGGCGTCCCAGTATTGTCCCATGTCTGTCCTCATGTATACAGGCGTCCCAGTATTGTCCCATGTCTGTCCTCGTGTGTACAGGCGTCCCAGTATTGTCCCATGTCTGTCCTCATGTATACAGGCGTCCCAGTATTGTCCCATGTCTGTCCTCATGTGTACAGGCATCCCAGTATTGTCCCATGTCTGTCCTCATGTATACAGGCGTCCCAGTATTGGCCCATGTCTGTCCTCATGTATACAGGCGTCCCAGTATTGTCCCATGTCTGTCCTCATGTATACAGGCGTCCCAGTATTGTCCCATGTCTGTCCTCGTGTGTACAGGCGTCCCAGTATTGTCCCATGTCTGTCCTCATGTATACAGGCGTCCCAGTATTGGCCCATGTCTGTCCTCATGTATACAGGCGTCCCAGTATTGTCCCATGTCTGTCCTCATGTGTACAGGCGTCCCAGTATTGTCCCATGTCTGTCCTCGTGTGTACAGGCGTCCCAGTATTGCCCCATGTCTGTCCTCGTGTGTACAGGCGTCCCAGTATTGTCCCATGTCTGTCCTCGTGTACAGAGAGGGCGGGGGGGGGGGGGAGGAGAGGATAGGTGTAACTGCTTTACTGGGTGATTGTTCCCTGGGTGGAAGGGTAGTGGGGGGGGGAGGGGAAGCGTCGTGACCCATCCCATATAAACGGCTCACAGGCAATTCCCCTTCCCAGGATTACTGCCTCGGTGACCTTTCCTGCTGTATCTGGCCCACCCCAGACCTCTTACTCCCTCCACCCCCCCCCCTCCCACCCCCCACCAGCACCCTTGAAGATGGGCTCCAGCAACACCCCATCTTCTTCTTCTGGCCCTTCATCTTCTACCCCTTCTATTGTTCCCTCTATTTTCCCGGCGGGAGGTTAGCTGGGTTCAGCGGCCTCGAGGGTAGTGTGAGTGTGGCCGCTCTCCTGGTTTACCACTCCGTATAAAATGGTGTTTATTTTTTAGTTGCCCTCCCAGAAGCTTATTACCATCCCACCTCAATATTCTGAAATAATATCATTTTATAGCGAAATTAGACGAAACTGAGCGGACCATCCCGGACCTGACTTATATATATATATATATATATATATATATATATATATATATATATATATATATATATATATATATATATATATATATATATATATATATATATATATATATATATGTATATATAATATATATATATATATATATATTATATATATATATATATATATATATATATATATATATATATATATATAATGAGAAAGAGAGAAAATGTTATAAAACGAGTACAACCACAAACAAAAACCTTTTTGTTGTAGAAGCGGTGTCAGGAGCCTGATGTTGGAGAGATGAGGCTCCTGAAGCCACCTCCACCACCACCAGCTCAAAGGAAACCAGACACCAACTGAGACACCCACACAAGTGTCTCCAGCCAACACACTGACAACCCTGCACGCCACACACACACACACACACACACACACACACACACACACACACACACACACACACACACACACCTAACAAATGTCTACTTATCATCCCCCATCCCTCTTCATCCCCCATCCTTTCCAAGCACTTTGGATATCAATGGGAATCGAAAGTGACAGATGACGCTATAGGAAGTCGACAATCCGAGCAACAATGTTGTGGAGCGACTTATCCAAAATATATTATTGCCTGGAGACCCGACTTAGCCTCACCTCGCCTCCAAGCAACAATATATCTTGGATAAGTCGCTCCACAACATTGTGTGCTCCTGTGCCAGGTCAGTCCACTACGGGCTCGCCATAGCCCGGGCTACTCGGAACATTTGGTTCCGAATAACTGAATCAAAAATAACATTGTCGCTTGGATTGTCGACTTCCTATGGCGTCACCTGCCACTTAGTCTCGTCTAAATTCGTTATAAAATTATATTATTTCAGAGTAAAGATATGTTTTTAGTGAGTAAATGTATCATAGTTCTACACATTATAGTGAGTAAATATATCATGTTTCTATACATTATAGTGAGTAAATATATCATGTTTCTTCATTACTTACGTAATGCTAGGAAGCTTTGTATAGTGAATATCACTGAACTATTAAAGAATGTCACTGAACTATTGGAGAATGTCACTGAACTATTGAAGAATGTCACTGAACTATTGAAAAATGTCACTGTACAATTGAAGAATGTCACTGAACTATTGGAGAATGTCACTGAACTATGGAGAATGTCACTGAACTATTGAAGAATGACACTGAACTATTGAAGAATGTCACTGAACTATTGGAGAATGTAAGAACATAAGAACATAAGAACAAAGGTAACTGCAGAAGGCCTATTGGCCCATACGAGGCAGCTCCTATTCTATAACCACCCAATCCCACTCATATACTTGTCCAACCCGTGCTTGAAACAATCGAGGGACCCCACCTCCACAATGTTACGCGGCAATTGGTTCCACAAATCAACAACCCTGTTACTGAACCAGTATTACCCAAGTCTTTCCTAAATCTAAACTTATCCAATTTATATCCATTGTTTCGTGTTCTGTTTTTCTCTATGTCACCGAACTATTGAAGAATGTCACTGAACTATTGAAGAATGTCACTGAACTATTGAAGAATGTCACTGAACTATTGAAGAATGTCACTGAACTATTGAAGAATGTCACTGAACTATTGAAGAATGTCACTGAACTATTGAAGAATGTCACTGAACTATTGAAGAATGTCACTGAACTATTAAAGAATGTCACTGAACTATTGAAGAATGTCACTGAACTATTGAAGAATGTCACTGAACTATTGAAGAATGTCACTGAACTATTGGAGAATGTCACTGAACTATTGAAGAATGTCACTGAACTATTGAAGAATGTCACTGAACTATTGAAGAATGTCACTGTACTATTGAAGAATGTCACTGAACTATTGGAGAATGTCACTGAACTATTGAAGAATGTCACTGAACTATTGAAGAATGTCACTGAACTATTGAAGAATGTCACTGAACTATTGAAGAATGTCACTGAACTATTGAAGAATGTCACTGAACTATTAAAGAATGTCACTGAACTATTGAAGAATGTCACTGAACTATTGAAGAATGTCACTGTACTCCCCCATTTAGATTATGCAGTTCAGTTTTGGTCGCCGTATTATAGAATGGATATAAATTCACTTGAACGTGTCCAACGTAGGATGACTAAGTTAATTCCCCAAATTAGAAATCTTTCATATGAAGAAAGATTAACAAAGCTTAAGTTGCATTCACTGGAAAGGCGAAGAGTTAGTGGTGATATGATAGAGGTTTACAAGTGGATGAATGGACATAACAGGGGGGGATATTAATAGGGTATTAAAAATATCAACACAAGACAGAACACGAAACAATGGGTATAAATTGGATAAGTTTAGATTTAGGAAAGACTTGGGTAAATACTGGTTCAGTAACAGGGTTGTGATTTGTGGAACCAATTGCCGCGTAACGTGGTGGAGGTGGGGTCCCTCGATTGTTTCAAGCGTGGGTTGGACAAGTATATGAGTGGGATTGTGTGGTTATAGAATAGGAGCTGCCTCGTATGGGCCAATAGGCCTTCTGCAGTTACCTTTGTTCTTATGTTCTTATTGAAGAATGACACTGAACTATTGAAGAATGTCACTGAACTATTGGAGAATGTCACTGAACTATTGAAGAATGACACTGAACTATTGAAGAATGTCACTGAACTATTGAAGAATGTCACTGAACTATTGAAGAATGTCACTGAACTATTGGAGAATATATTGTGAATCTTGGAGAGAATTCTTTGACTAATGGAAGATAATGGTTTAGATGCTCCCTTACCAAATAGAGTGACTTGGCCAGCCTGTTCCAGTCATCACAGCCTGCTTGACCATCCTATACACCAGTCTTTCATGAAGAACAGCCTCAATGTAGGGAGAAAAACAGTCTATAACCGGTTTTCTTTCTCCCTGTCTAATTATAGGAGCCCTGTCATAGAACTCATTGAGGTTAGACAGGCTCCACTTTCCCCTTTCTAAATCCCTGTTGACTGACTGTCACATGGATGATTCTCTAGATGGTACGTTATCCCCTAACCTGATATCGTTGATTTGTGATTCATTTTGCTGGGGGACAGGCAGCCAGTGAATATATATGCATGTTAGGGTTATATCGTGCGCCACCCTCACCCAACGCCAAGGGCGAACTACTCTCTCCAACACTATTATCTTCACTACTGTCACCACCACTTCCTCCACTATCCATCACTATCTATCTACCCTGTCGTTAAGGATAAAATTGTTGTGGTTGTTACTAATGAACCACCACAACAACAACAGCCCTAAACACTTAGTAACCTTTAAGGTCTAACTTGAATCGTGTTCTGCCCTCCGCCAGTCACTCGGACCTCACACTCTCCTAAACTTCTCAGAGTTCCATCACTCGAGAAGAGACTGGGAAGACCCCCCCCCTCCCTACCCCCCTAAAGCTGGAACGACCTTCCGTCGGATCTCACAAAATGGTAATGTTGGCCGCTGGATTTTTAACAAATTTAAGAATGCCTTCAGCTTTTTCCGTGCCGTGGAGGGCCCAATCTCTCTCCCCCGTGGGGTCCACGGGCCCCCTAGTGGTGCAAGAGGACCCTAAACTGGAAGGGGGCAAGGGGATGGGGGTGAGGAAAGGTGCCTCTGGGGGACTGGAAGGTCTGGAAGAGGGGGGGCGACAAGGGGATGGGGTGAGCAAAGGTGCCTCTGGGGGACTGGAAGGTCTGGAAGGGGGGGGGACGACAAGGGGATGGGGTGAGCAAAGGTGCCTCTGGGGGGACTGGAAGGTCTGGAAGGGGGGGGGGCGACAAGGGGATGGGGTGAGCAAAGGTGCCTCTGGGGGACTGGAAGGTCTGGAAGCTTCCACGTAACCTCAGTCCAAATAACTCACACAGAAACATCAATAGATATATGTGATGGAAGATGAAGGGCCACAGTGTGCTGACACACCATACAGAGCCTCACCATTGTGTTCCTAGTATAGCAACACCCCACAATAAGGTTGGGATGGATGGGCGTGTTTCAAGTGTAGGTTAGACATGTATATGAACGAGTGGTGGGATGTAAATAGAAGCTGACTTATATGGACCTCTGCACCTGCCTTTATTACTATTCCTTGACTCTCAGCCTGCTAGTAGGGTAAGGCTTACCATGAGCTATGGGAAGGGAAAGCTCTCAGCCTGCTAGTAGGGTAAGGCTTACCATGAGCTATGGGAAGGGAAAGCTCTCAGCCTGCTAGTAGGGTAAGGCTTACCATGAGCTATGGGAAGGGAAAGCTCTCAGCCTGCTAGTAGGGTAAGGCTTACCATGAGCTATGGGAAGGGAAAGCTCTCAGCCTGCTAGTAGGGTAAGGCTTACCATGAGTAGGGTAAGGCTATGGGAAGGGAAAGCTCTCAGCCTGCTAGTAGGGTAAGGCTTACCATGAGCTATGGGAAGGGAAAGCTCTCAGCCTGCTAGTAGGGTAAGGCTTACCATGAGCTATGGGAAGGGAAAGCTCTCAGCCTGCTAGTAGGGTAAGGCTTACCATGAGCTATGGGAAGGGAAAGCTCTCAGCCTGCTAGTAGGGTAAGGCTTACCATGAGCTATGGGAAGGGAAAGCTCTCAGCCTGCTAGTAGGGTAAGGCTTACCATGAGCTATGGAAGGGAAAGCTCTCAGCCTGCTAGTAGGGTATGGGAAGGGAAAGCTCTCAGCCTGCTAGTAGGGTAAGGCTTACCATGAGCTATGGGAAGGGAAAGCTCTCAGCCTGCTAGTAGGGTAAGGCTTACCATGAGCTATGGGAAGGGAAAGCTCTCAGCCTGCTAGCTTAGTAGGGTAGCCAGGCTTACCATGAGCTATGGGAAGGGAAAGCTCTCAGCCTGCTAGTAGGGTAAGGCTTACCATGAACTATGGGAAGGGAAAGCTCTCAGCCAGCAAGTAGGGTAAGGCTTACCATGAGCTATGGGAAGGGAAAGCTCTCAGCCTGCTAGTAGGGTAAGGCTTACCATGAGCTATGGGAAGGGAAAGCTCTCAGCCAACTAGTAGAGTAAGGCTTACCATGAGCTATGGGAAGGGAAAGCTCTCAGCCTGCTAGTAGGGTAAGGCTTACCATGAGCTATGGGAAGGGAAAGCTCTCAGCCTGCTAGTAGGGTAAGGCTTACCATGAGCTATGGGAAGGGAAAGCTCTCAGCCAGCTAGTAGGGTAAGGCTTACCATGAGCTATGGGAAGGGAAAGCTCTCAGCCTGCTAGTAGGGTAAGGCTTACCATGAGCTATGGGAAGGGAAAGCTCTCAGCCAACTAGTAGGGTAAGGCTTACCATGAGCTATGGGAAAGGTTACTATATGGTTACTATAAGTAAGGGTCCCCGAACCCTTCCACCTCTCCCACATGGGGCATGGGAATGGAATGGAGCTATCAGGGGAAAGTACCAAGCCATTATGACTATAAAACACAGGGAAGGGGTCAAGATAAGGCTTTGGGATGGGACAGAGGGGAAGGAATGGTGCCCAACCACTTGTGGACGGTCGGGGATTGAACGCCGACCTGCATGACGCTCTACCGTCGCTCTATACCGTTCAGCGCAAGTGGTTGGGCGTCTGGCATTGGAACTTATCCAAAGTTCCACTCAAATTAAAATTGTGCGTAAATGCTTTATAATGACTGACCTAACTATTGTGTGTGTGTGTTCGCAGGTGAGGTGGACGGGGCGGCGTGAGTACCCTCACTCACGGTGAGTACCTCCTCTCACTCATGAGTACACAACACGCCAACAAACAAACAAAACCCATGTAAACGTGGCGTAGTCTCGAGGGAAGGGAGGTGGGGCCCAGGAGCTTAAGTCCAAACCCATGAGGGAGACAGGGACTTGGTCCTTAGTGACCCTGGAGCCAGTCCAAGACTTACAGACCTTTTAAGACCTGAAGGAGAGCTTTCGGACCTGCCCTTGTCTGGGAGGACCGAGGGGGCCAGGGTAATAGGGGGCCTGAGTAATAGGGGCCAGAGTAATAGGGAGCCAGAGTAATAGGGAGCCAGAGTAATAGGGGGCCAGAGTAATAGGGGGCCAGGGTAATAGGGGGCCAGGGTAATAGGGGGCCAGGGTAATAGGGGGCCAGAGTAATAGGGATCCAGAGTAATAGGGGGCCAGAGTAATAGGGGGGGTAATAGGGGGCCAGGGTAATAGGGGGCCAGAGTAATAGGGGGCCAGAGTAATAGGGAGCCAGAGTAATAGGGAGCCAGAGTAATAGGGGGCCAGAGTAATAGGGGCCAGAGTAATAGCCAGAGTAATAGGGGGCCAGAGTAATAGGGGGCCAGAGTAATAGGGGGCCAGGGTAATAGGGGGCCAGAGTAATAGGGGGCCAGAGTAATAGGGGGCCAGAGTAATAGGGGGCCAGGGTAATAGGGGGCCAGAGTAATAGGGGGCCAGAGTAATAGGGGGCCAGAGTAATAGGGGGCCAGAGTAATAGGGGGCCAGAGTAATAGGGGGCCAGAGTAATAGGGGGCCAGAGTAATAGGGGGCCAGAGTAATAGGGGGCCAGAGTAATAGGGGGCCAGAGTAATAGGGGGCCAGAGTAATAGGGGGCCAGAGTAATAGGGGGCCAGAGTAATAGGGGGCCAGAGTAATAGGGGGCCAGAGTAATAGGGGGCCAGAGTAATAGGGGGCCAGAGTAATAGGGGGCCAGAGTAATAGGGGGCCAGAGTAATAGGGGGCCAGAGTAATAGGGGCCAGAGTAATAGGGGGCCAGAGGTAATAGGGGGCCAGAGTAATAGGGGGCCAGAGTAATAGGGGGCCAGAGTAATAGGGAGCCAGAGTAATAGGGAGCCAGAGTAATAGGGGGCCAGAGTAATAGGGGGCCAGAGTAATAGGGGGCCAGAGTAATAGGGGGCCAGAGTAATAGGGGCGCCAGAGTAATAGGGGCCCAGAGTAATAGGGGGCCAGAGTAATAGGGCGCCAGAGTAATAGAGAGCCAGAGTAATAGGGGGCCAGAGTAATAGGGGGCCAGAGTAATAGGGCGCCAGAGTAATAGGGGGCCAGAGTAATAGGGCGCCAGAGTAATAGGGGGCCAGAGTAATAGGGGCGCCAGAGTAATAGGGCGCCAGAGTAATAGGGCGCCAGAGTAATAGGGGGCCAGAGTAATAGGGCGCCAGAGTAATAGGGGGCCAGAGTAATAGGGCGCCAGAGTAATAGGGGGCCAGAGTAATAGGGCGCCAGAGTAATAGGGGGCCAGAGTAATAGGGGCGCCAGAGTAATAGGGGGCCAGAGTAATAGGGCACCAGAGTAATAGGGGGCCAGAGTAATAGGGCGCCAGAGTAATAGGGGGCCAGAGTAATAGGGCGCCAGAGTAATAGGGGGCCAGAGTAATAGGGCGCCAGAGTAATAGGGGGCCAGAGTAATAGGGGCGCCAGGGTAATAGGGGGCCAGAGTAATAGGGAGCCAGAGTAATAGGGGGCCAGAGTAATAGGGCGCCAGAGTAATAGGGGGCCAGAGTAATAGGGGGCCAGAGTAATAGGGCGCCAGAGTAATAGGGGGCCAGAGTAATAGGGCGCCAGAGTAATAGGGGCGCCAGAGTAATAGGGGGCCAGAGTAATAGGGAGCCAGAGTAATAGGGGGCCAGAGTAATAGGGGGCCAGAGTAATAGGGCGCCAGAGTAATAGGGGGCCAGAGTAATAGGGGCCAGAGTAATAGGGGCCAGCCAGAGTAATAGGGCGCCAGAGTAATAGGGGGCCAGAGTAATAGGGGGCCAGAGTAATAGGGGGCCAGAGTA